CGATCAATAATCTGAAAATAATGTGGTATAATCGAAATAATTCTGAAAGATTGATATGTGATTTTATTTTAACTGATCTGTATATTAGACCGTTCACGATTCGAAGTAATAAAATAAATAAAAACCGACAATATAACAATATATAGAATGTTCCAAAATTAATTATTAGATATCGTTTTCAGATTTTCTTGATAATCTTTCTCTTTCTCAGACCAACTTTTGAAGTTAAACTTTTCTCAGCGAAAATATTGACGAAGATTATTATTTTATTGTAATTTTTATTTATCGTACATATGTGGATGGAAAAGGAAAAATAGAAAGCAAAAAAGAACAACAGTAATGAGAGAGAGAGGGGGGGGAAAGGGGGAGAGAGAGAGAGCATTGCCCAGGTATATATATTACATAGATGATTCTCTGTATTGTACACATACACACACACATACACACACATACAAAACACACACGCGTGTGCGCGTGTGCGTGAGAGTGGTAAGCACTGTGATATCGATCGTACGCAGTATCGTGCTACAAGACCATGTTCGAACGTCTGGCGTCTCTCGTGTATTCCACTTGCTCAGATGTAGCACATATAACTGTTGAGATAAACACATAATTTATATCATAAATAGAGGTATGTACCATGTTCCACACACACACGCGCGCGCGCGCGCGCACGCACACACACACACACACACACATTCACCATGTTCATACTATATATGCACGCCATGCTAATCTCTTTGTTAACATGTTTCATAAAGCGAGTCTGGGTAGATTCGTCGATAATTAATGACTAAGCGATGACGCTCGTTTGATATCGTCACATAGGCGGATTCGTAAATGTGCAAATTCATGAGAATTCCCAAAAAGTAAACACTAATGAATCAGATGCGCGGGTTTTATACGGCGTGGCTCTACATCGAAAATGATAAATGTATAAAGGAAAAGATTTGATATATTTGATATTTATGTTTAATTTATATTTATATATTTTTTTAAATATTTTATATTATAGTTTGTAACAGATAGAAAGAGAAAGAGAGACAATTTGATTTTTAACTACAAAGTAAATTAATTAAAGGAAATAAATATCCTTATGTTAAATATGTTTCGTTAATGATGTATTATTATAATTATTATATACAATTATTATTACTACAGTTACATTAGTTACAAATTGATCAGAGCAATCATTGAGTTTAAATTTAATGATAATATTTGAAAATGATAATATTTATTGGATGATAATATTTATATGTCTATTACATAAGATCAAATATGTAACATCATTTTTTTACCTCGTAAAGATTGCTATAAAAAGATAATAAATATATCTAATTATTCTTATATAAATTTCTATTATATCGCCAAGAGAAGTGAATTTTTATATGTTCCACAACATTCTACATTTTTATATTATTCTATTGTATTAGAACATACTAGTCAAATCAGCTAATGATTCTCAAAATACGAGACAGATATAATTCTACATCTTGACGGACGATGTCGATTTCGTGCAAATGTCGGTGATATCAATTAACGATTTTTTAAATTTAGCGTTGATCGCGATTAATGGACATGAATAATTGAATAATCATCGTATTCAGGAATGAATAATTGAATAATCATCGTATTCAGGAATGAATATTTATCGATATTTGTGACTTGAATCGGAAATTCGGACACAAAGCTCGAATTCACTTTCGCCTTCATTTTCTTTTTTTCTTCTTTATCCTTTATGTAGTGTTTATCCTTTATCCTTAGTGTGGGGCTGAATAGCTCAGTGGTAAGAGCAGTCGCCCGGCAAGCGAAAGACTCGGGTTCGATTCCCGATTCAGCGACTTCGCCCCGATATTTTTCTCGCCTACGTCTCTTTAAGGGGGTAAAGAGAGGGGTCTTATAGTATTCTCGATTTGAGAATTGATATCTTGGTTTATGCACCAAGTAAAATACAGGCATATATGCTCTTCAAATGCGATTTAATTCGCGGATTAATAATCTTTGAAATTTCACGCACTACCATCCGCGTCGGCTCTTAATTGCTCCTTTTCTATTACATGATTTCCTATGTTTTATCCTTTATGTTTGTCTGTAATCCAAAAAGTTTAACGAAACACGAATGTTTAAATATTCATAGTATATTCTATTAATGAAGAAAAACATCGAGAACTTTTCACTAAAAGATTTATTCGCGGGAATACATACGAAAACAAATATCGACTTGTTGACAGTAATTTTTCATTGCTTCGTAAAAGAAGGATAAGCTATTATAGAAACTATGATGAACTATTATAGAAATATTAAACAAATTGTTATTAAACAAATTTTGTATTGTACAAATGTTGTATTAAACAAATATGCAAATTATATTTGATTGATAAATATTGTTGAATTGTTTTGTCGATAAATAATTACATTTATAAGTAACGTTAAGTTTTATGTGCATTGAGAGAAATAAATGATTGTAGTTATCATAAGTTCATTACAGTATATCGTAGTAATATAGCATAGTAGTAACATTGTAATTATGTAGCATTAGCCCAATTAATTAATAACAAAAATTAAAATAATTAAATAAATAATAAAATTATTACATTTAAATAAATTTAAATTTATTTAATTCATAAAAAATTAATTCATAGAATATCATTTTTTTGAGAGAGACAATTTCTATTTTGTGTCTTGAATAAAATACCTATTTGAGACACAAACGTAATTTACCCGATATTACTGAATAATTAGTTTATTAACATCATGAATCTTCCTTGAGAATATCAATAAAGTAAATTTTCATAAGGATCGACATCACATTTTTGTTTTTAGTAGCCTCGCTTTACAAATCTTATTCTGTAGCATAACATTTGAACATGAGATAAATACGCTGGATAATAATATACAAAGGAAATATAATCTGATAGTAGTAATGAATTTGCAATTTTATATTCTTATTTTTTCAACTTCTCTTTCAAGAAAATAGTAAATTATTATAAATATAGTTATAAAATATGTTATTGCTGTATAGTTCTATATGCATTAGTATGAATAATTAATTTTATTATTATTCTCTTTTTAATTTCAACGATATACGTAGTAGAAAATTTAGAGTTAAAAATATAATCATTGGATTACTAATATATGTGTAAAAATGTTTATTTCTTCAATTATCATTTTTTACTTGTTTTTTAATATAATAAATAAAGCGAATATTTAGTTACTACTACCAATAAGTAAAGTGAATGTTAACACCATAATTAGATTTGTTATAATTGTGATTTGTTTTTAAAGTAATAATTGTTTTATTTACTATCTGTTAAAATAGATATTTTATTATAAATCGATATTTAAAATTATTATAATTTATAGTAGAATTTAAAAAAAAATAATATATAATAAAATTATAATATACGGAATGTCTTTTTGCAATCCCGAAATGTGAAGATAGATTGGCTCAAATTAAGAAGGAAAGTCTTCTACTGCTTTACGATATTTGCAATAATTAAAAGTCGGACTTATCACTCCTTCTCCATTCATCGCTTCGCCGCACTCTCAGTATAAAATTACAATGAGACGACTCTCGTCGCCGCGCGCTTCTACTCACGCAGATTGGCCGATTTTCTTTAATTAATTTTTCGTTAATTATTGCAAATATCGCAAAATAGAGGACCTTTTTTCTTAATTTGAGCCAATCTACCTTTACACTTCGGGACTACAAAAAGATCAGACACCCTGTATAGAATATTTATATAGTTAGTAGAGAACTATAAAGTTACTATTTCCAAGATTATATAGTAATAAAAACTAATAATTAACATTATATGTATATATATTTTTTTTCTACGCGATGATGCCCTCTTTGCTACCATCACTAGATCGGCAAAGACGGTATTGCTTTTCGTGGCGCTCGGCTGCTAGCATGTACTTGGAGTAAGGAAAACGACAATGAGATCCGGACTCTGGTAAAATTATACAGGGTGATCCACGTAAAGTGTTACAAATTTATATTTCGGAAACGAAGCAATTTAAAGAAGAATGATTCAGACAAAAGTTATATGGTTTCGAGGAGGACATCAGATGATGCCATTAGGTTGACCTTCAAGAGTCACCTGAAGGTCATGTGAAGGTTACCTCCAACTTTTTAAATGGGATACCCTATATGCTTTTGCATATTCTTGTAGTACATCTAGAGAGCTTTCCAAAACATTATAATTAAGTTTGTTTGCATTAAGTACTTTCCGAGTTATGAGGCTTGAAATTATTTCTTAATTTTACATAAACCGTAAAATATCTTGTAAAATATTCATTTTTCGATTATCTTACCTTAATACTTTTATGTACAAAGTAATAAGAGGAATCAATTGGTGTAAAGAAAACACATAGTTGTTTTGAAAGAAAAAATGTAATTTGCAATTAACAATTGTGTTTTCTTTACACCAATTGATTCCTCTTATTATTTTCTACATAAAAATATTAAGGTAAGATAATCGAAAAATGAATATTTTACAAGATATTTTACGGTTTATGTAAAATTAAGAAATGATTTCAAGCCTCATAACTCGGAAAGTACTTAATGCAAACTGACTTAATTATAGTGTTTTGGAAAGCTCCCGAAATGAACTACAAGAATATGCAAAAGCATATAGAATATCCCATTTAAAAAGTTGGAGGTAACCTTCACGTGACCTTCAGGTAACTCTTGAAGGTCAACCTAATGGCATGATTTGATGTCTCCTGTGAAACCCCCATATAACTTTTGTTTAAAACATTTTGCTCTAAATTGCTTCGTTTTCGAGATATAAATTTGTAACACTTTATGTGGGCCACCCTGTATAGTTACAAATATCATACATTTTTCTTTCAATGTACAAATATGGAGAAATATTATAGAAATATTTCTGGAGAGAATCATATGAAAAAATAGATAAAAAAATTAATAGAATTTCTCTATAATTTCTTATATTCTATAATTCTTTACAATTTCGATTTCGTTATTTAATTTCCAGGAACAATAGTATAAGTGGAATTTGAGACTTTTCCGAGGAGAATGTGGGGAAGAGCAAATATGATCGTGATTCTTTTTCTAGGATGGCTATATATTTTTGCTCGCGCAGAAGGTATGTTTATTTTCATACAAGATTAGCACATATAATAATTTACTGAAAGTATAAGAGGAAATTCTTTTTATTAAACATATGTTCGAGTAAAAAAAATCGAAGAAAATAAATAAAATATTTTATATTAAACTTTCTAGTAAATGTTGTTATATTAATATTATATAAAAACAATGAAATGGAATGTTACATAATATAAATATTACCGGTAAATTATTATTAATGATACGTTAATGTTAAGTTAATTGTAATGTCCTATTAATAAATGTAACATGTTATATTGTTGTTACATCATAATTATATTCCATGTAGAAAACTGATTCATGTAAACTATTGATCATATAAAATTGATAATTAAATAAATAGAATAAATTATGTACTTTACTTATACAGCACAAAATCTTGCAGCAACATTGCTGCAATATTACAACATTGCAATGTAATGTTGTAGAAATATTGCAAAGATATGATTTCATAATATTTTATAACTTTGGCAATGTTGCAGCAATATTTTAAAATAACGAAAACATATAATAGTGTATGACATGTGTTTCTTCACTTGCCGCTACGCGGCGACATCAAACTTAACTAACTCGTATTCAAATTTTTATCTGAAATGAATATAAAGTCTACAAAGGATTATTGTAGTAAAGTATATTTTTTGTCTATCAGTTTAATTTTTGATAAACTTCTCAATTTGTTTAATATTCTGAATTCTAATGAGAGATCCAAAACAAACAAACAATTTATTTAATAATCTAGATTTCATGTTGGAATTCAGAATATTAAACAGATTTTTCTCAATTGGATGGCTAAATGAGAACTAGTCTATTTATTGGATATTAAATATATATTATTGCATATTAAATATTTTGATGTGGAATGTATATAAGGTATTGTATTATATATATACATTATCGAGATAAGTAATAAGAATAAGAAACATTTAATTAAAAATACTAACTAAAACGTTTTTTAAAGGTGGGTTTTCTTATCTTTCTTAACCTTTCTTTTTATATTTTCATTATTATAATCTTACATTGTAATATTTCTAAGGGCTGACATTTCAACGTTGTTGCAAACTTATAGTAATGTTGCGGAAACATTTCACAACTTCTGCAATATTACAATATTTTACTGTTAGATCTATGCAACATTTTTGTAATCTTTTGGTGCTATATGGAAATTTATAAAATTCGAAATTTAATTTATATAAAAATTTTGATTTTTGTTACAAATAGGCAGTAAATGGATTAATCCAGAAAAGATAGAGATGTATATGGGAGGAGATCGGACGCCCATTTAATCAACGAGTGACAGAATCCATCCGTGGCAACGGCATCGACGTATATCTTGTGGAGAGAGCATTCACACACTTTTCAGCCCAACGAATAATTGTTAGAAAACAATATTCGCGAACTAAAAAAATATGTGAGGCGCAAGTGACTGCATCGGGAATCTGAGTCTTTCATTTTCTGGGCAACTGCTCTAGACCATTGAGCTATCCAGACACACTTAATGCTGCTTTTTAACACAGTGATATGCGACCAGAGCGATGTTAGTATCTCACTCGATGGATAGAATGCCGATTGCCACGGAGGATCCTTGAAAGGTCGCTCGATGATCAAATATTTTCTATATTTACTTGCTCAGTTTCTAATAATCTAATTTTAATGTTTTAAATCTCCTCCTCTCCTTATTGAGATTATAGAAATTAAGTTGACAAAAAAAAGATATACTTTGAATTTTATATTAATATCCTTTTTTTGCAGATTTTATATTCATTTCATGGTGAAAAATTAAATATGAGTTAGTTAAATCTTTGCCGTGTCATGGCAAAAAGACATACGTATAACATTATATTATTGCAATAATAATCTGTTACATTACTCTTGTACTGTTGCAAAATAATACATATACTATAAGATTTACAGCTACATTTTGCTACAGTTTTATATATCGTAGATCGATTTTATAGGTAATTGCGTTATATTATTTATTATTATATTATATTACTACATAAAAACAAGCAGTATTAACTGGGTTTAATGTAAAATATCAGAATAGCGCGAAGGGATCAAAATCGGCTTCTTTCTCGCATTAAATATTATCATATTGAAATGTAAAATATATCGTTCGCGAATAATGGAAGAATGTTTTCGTTGATCGCCTTAGCAGGCAATGTCGAGATGACATTTGCCGACGTTGAAGCGGAAACTATTCTCGAGCGAGCGGCCACATGGTTGTGGAGTCAACGGGACAAGGACGCTGGCTGGGGTAACGACACGCATCGAGTGCTCCTGGTCCTTCGTTTAGCGAATCTCTCTCGCGATGATAACGTCACGCCATCGGCACCACCGTTAGAACTGCAACTCACCGCCAAGCAGATGGAATTGGAAATCGTGCTTCTACTCTGGAGGTAGATTTGCGAGAATCTCGCAGCGAAACATAAGACTTCTTAAAAAATGTTTTTCTTTTTATTTTCTTCTTTCTTAAGAAGAAGCATTTTATAATCTTAATATCTTTTAAGTTATAATATTATTATACTTTATTTTATTATATTTTTCGTTCTCTCTTTGGAAATAAATACATATTAACTGTCGACTGTTTGGCATATACAGGGTGTCCCATTTTAAAAAACGCAACTCGATAATTCTTCAACGAAGCATTTTCAGCAAAAATGTTTCAGACAAAAGTTGTATAGTTTCAAGGGGGACATAAAATGGTGTCATTAATTTGACTTTGAATAAGTTACTTAAGTTATTTAAAGGTCACGTGAAGGTCACCTTCAATTTTTTAAATGGAACTGCCTACTTTTATTGCATATTCTTGCAGCTCATCTCGAGAGCTTTCCAAAACACTATAATTAAATTATTTTTCATTAAATACATTTTCGAGTTAAGAGGCTTAAAAATATCTTAATTTAAAATTATCTTAATATTAATTTAAAAATATCTTAATATCTTAATTTTACATAAACTATAAAATATCTAGTAAAATATTCATTTTTTGATTATCTTAATACTTTTATGTACAAAATAATGAGAATAATCAATTGGTGTAAAGAAAACATAGTTATTTTTAAGAAAACATATGTAATTGTACAGGAATAATATGTAATTACAAATTATATACATATTATTCCTTAGAAACAACACTGTGTGTTTTCTTTACACAAATTGATTACTTTCATTATTTTGTACATAAAAGTATTAAGGTAGGATAATTGAAAAATGAATATTTTACAAGATATTTTATATAAAATTAAGATAAAGTGTGGCACAATAGGTAGCGCACTAGCTTAAAAAGCCAAAGGTACCGGGTTCGATTCCCGGTAGAATCGAAAAATTATACACGCTCGCTTCTTTCTCGGAACGCAATGGCAAACCACCGAGAAATCTTGCCAAGAGAATCTCTCTAATCTAATTTGGCAGTTCGAAATCGGCATTAAACTGTAGGTCCCATATACATGTGACAATCTGGTACGCAATACAGGTATATGATAGAGAGATCCCCATGTTCAGGAATGAACGAAGGACTATGAAGACAATAAAATTAAGATATTATTTTAAGCTTCATAACTCGAAAAGTACAATGAAAAAATATTTCATTATAATGTTTTGAAAAGCTCTCAATATGAGCTGCAAGAGTATGTAATATAAAATAGGGGGTTCTATTTAAAAAAACATCAATGACCTTGACCTGACCTTCAATAGGTCACTCTAGGTCAAGTACATATGTTCATCATCTGTTCCCCTTTAAACCAAACAACTTTTGTTTGAAACATTTTTCCGTATCTTTCATATTTTTCGAGATATTTATCTGGGGCAATTAAAATGGGACACCCTATATATACAGAGTGATTCAAAATAATAATCCTATTGTCCGTAAAATGACACATTCTTGAATCAATTCTAAGACGATTTTTCCTTTGGTAAAATTTCGTCCGACGCTTAGTTTTTGAATTATTAAAGGAAGTAATTAACTTATGACGGGTCGGATACAATAGGCAGGCAAGGGTGGCGCGATTCACCGTCAGACGCGGGTGCTTACGTGGGCGACCGTTGCTGGTCACTACATACACACATGCGAATACACACATGCGAATTCTCATTCTCTCTCTCTCTCTCTCTCTCTCTCTCATTTGCTTACTTACTTGAAGTTATTATTACTCTTACTTAAATTATTATTTACTTTTTATTATTATACATTTTCATTTTAATAATAGATATTTTATACATCTATTATTATTTTTTTATATTGTACTTCTTTTTACAAGAGAGGGGAAAATTCATTTTATGTATACTCACAGGCTAGTCCGTTGAGTTATGTGGGACTCGAGTATTAAGTCGAATTACCAACTGGATACTTCCTACTCACTAAAAACCCCTCTCTTTCGCGAATTTTCTCTAACACTGTTTATTTGACATCCCGAAATCTGTTTTCATACAACACATTTTCACACACACACTGATTGTTACAGTCATCGCGTATAGCAATCAGCTGATCGTGGCGAGCGTCCCACGTAATCGCCTATATCGCGCCGTCCCTGTCTACCTCTTGTACTCGTTCCATAAGTAATTAACTATTTTCCTTTATAGTTTAAAAACTAAGTTCCGGCAAAACTTTGCAAGAGGAAAAATCGTTTTAGAATTCATTCAAGAATTTGATATTTTAAAGACAAACGTTTGTTCAGAATCACCCTGTATGATAACACGTATATATCTAGTGGATATCTTTAGTAGCTACTTGATGGATATGAAGATGTGATGAATATGTGAATATGATATAAACACATCTAATATCCCTGCTTATTCGGAAGATATAGATATTTTGTACATCTATTAGATATCTATTAGTTATCCATAAAAGACATGGACATCATATACGAGAAGTAGAAATCTAGATCTCGTAGAAATTTAGATATTTATTAGCTATCTACAATAATAGATAACTTTTTTGTGTGAGTTGACAACGCTCGTAGTGATAAGAGTAAGAGGAACAAAAAAAGTCCTTAATCATAAAATTAAAATTAAATTAAAATAATAATAATCGAGATATTGAGTATTAAATTCGGATAAATGAGAGCGCGCTAAAACGCTACGAGTAAAGCACCTCGCCGCTCAAATTGTATCAATTTGCCACGTGTATCAATTGAATGATGTTAAAATAAGTGATGTAACTTAAATAGGAGTAAACGGGATGAGATGGAAAGTAGTAAAAAGAATAAAAGGATAAGATGTACATTCTTGAGCTTTTGTTCAAATTTCTACAAATCTGCTATTTTGAATGCGATTTTCACTATTTTCGTGTCAGATTAGCGTGTCAAATGAAATTTATGATTAATAATGATTTAGTTTATCAAGAAATATAAAAAAAACATGCATAACAAAGATTCCACCACCACAGTCAAAATCAAATTATTTTATCTATCATCCTTAGGGAGAACTTTACAATTTCGTAGCAAAAATTCCACAATGTGGTAGCAATAATGAATAGAATAAATTTGAATAGTTTTTAATAAGTGGTTTGTATGCTTCAATCCTTTTGTTGTAGATTTTCTCTATTACTGATTATCTTTTAAATTAAAAATGTACTGGATATACAAAATTTTTTACATAAAATGCATGTTTTTAATTGTATTCATAGACACCGAGAAGTCGGGTTTTCTCCAGTTAGATTGGCACACTATACTTTGGCCATGAACGCGATGTGCATGGATCCGCGGCAGTTCTACGGTCACGATTTGATAGGCACGTTGCAGCATCATGAACCGCCAACAGATTACGAGTTCACATTGACTGCTCTTGCGGCATGTAGCGCACAAGCACACGTTCGCAAACGGCAGATGCGTCGTCTCCTGGACATTGCAAGTACTCCACAAAATTATAATATTGGTGGGTTGCCCCAAAATTATTATATTATCAAAATAGACAGATGAGTCGCATAAACAAGTAACAATAGATTTTAAGAAAAGAAACAGCTTTAATTTTAGTAACATTAAAGATTTGAATATAATTTTTTGTTGGATGTTTTATATGTATTTTAATTTTAATTTTTTGAAAATGGCTAATTTTGTTGAAAAATCAAACTTTTACGGAATTTATAAAAAATAATTATATAATGAAAAACTATTATTTTAATTAAAGTATGACTTTTCGAAGCAATCAGTTCCAGAGAGACAATCACTCCACATATACACTCACCTTGAATTTATGATTGATCTTTTGTTTTCTTTATTAATTGATTACAAATGACATATCCTCTTTATCAAGAGATACGATAATATATGTCTCTCATCAAGTTACGTGCAGCAACAGCAAAGCATTTCGGGATACGAATATCTATATACAAGTTGGACAATTGAGAGTATTTTAAATTATCTGATTTGAATAACGATTAAACCGAATTCTTGATAAGCTTAATCGATAACTTGAATTATGTAAGGCATGTATTTTTATTTTCATTTTACATGTTCTATAAACAGATATGTCCTATACATATATACAAATAATACTATGTACACGCACCGACAGGAATAGTGTCCCGCTATGCTTGCGTGACGCTTACTGACGTCACACTCATAAAAGCGAAGCGCGCATGTACGCGGGTCGGGCAGCGAGAGAGAAAGTGGGGGCAGAGTAGTGGGGGGCATTCCGATGTTGTGTCCTTCGCACACGGCACAAGAACGAGAGAGAAAGCACTATAAGACGTGATATCGAGTTAGAGATGTCCGATAGTCGTCTCTCTCGCTCGACGCTCGAATGAGGGAGTGCGAGCGAAACAGCTATATACTGCACGGGATACCACGCTGTCTCCATACGTGTCTCGCGCGCTTTAATATCGATATCGATATATTTTTTATTTCTTTCTTTAACGGAGTTAAAATGCGGTTGAACCGCATGCATCGGCGTACGAGGGTAGTTCGAAAAGTTCTCGGCCTGGCAAAGAAAACACATGATTTCCAGCAAAAATCTTTTTTATTTTTCAACATAGTTTCCTTTCAACTCAATACATTTAGACCAACGATGTTCTAATTTTTTTATACCCTCAGTATAATACGATTTGCTTAAGCCTCCAAAATAAGCATTCGTCTCAGCGATGACCTCCGCATTTGACGTGAATTTTTTTCCAGCAAGCCATTTTTTCATATTCGGAAACAAAAAGAAGTCACTGGGAGCTAAATCTGGCGAGTAAGGTGCGTGTGGTAACAATTCGAAACGCAATTCATGGAGCTTTGCAACTGCAATTGAAGACGTGTGAGCGGGTGCATTGTCGTGATGGAAAAGCACTTTTTTCTTTGCCAAATGAGGACGTTTGGTTTTAATAGCATCGTTCAATTGCTCCAGCAATGCTGCATAATATTCCCCATTGATGGTTTTGCCTTTTTCTAGATAATCTATGAACACCACACCTTGCGAATCCCAAAAAACAGTCGCCATGACTTTTCCGGCTGATGGAACTGTTTTTGCCTTCTTTGGAGCACTTCCACCCGCTTCCACCCATTGTTTTGATTGTTGTTTCGTCTCTGGCGTGTAATGGTGAATCCATGTTTCATCGACAGTGATAAATCGTCGCAGAAATTCGGTTGAATTGCGTTTAAACAAGTCCAAGCACTCTTGAGAAATGTTCATTCGAATGCGTTTCTGATCGACCGTTAACAAACGCGGCACCCATCGCGCTGAGAGCTTTCTCATATGCAAATGTTCATGTAAGATATTGTGAACACGATCTATTGAGATGTTTGCAATGTTAGAAAGCTCACGCACTTTTACTCGTCGATCATTTAACACGCTATCGTGGATTTTTTGAATGATTTCCTCATTCGTGGCGGTTTTCGGGCGACCCGAACGTTCATCGTCAAAGATGGATGAACGGCCACGTTTAAATTCAGCAGCCCATTTCTTCACTGTTGAAAATGATGGAGAAGAGTCTCCCAAAGTGGAATCCAGCTCGTTTTTTATTTCTGTTGCCGTTAATCCTTTTAAAACGAAATATTTTATGACTGCGCGATATTCAATTTTATCCATTTTTGGAGAAGTATCAAATCTTGTCTGTTTTACTCGAGCACAGTAAACAAACTAGCGAACGAATCTGTCTAAAACTATGCGGTACGCCCTCTGAGGGATTAAACTTGAGAAAAATCATAGCCATTTGATATTCTTAGCAACATCTCTATATTAGGCCGAGAACTTTTCGAACTACCCTCGTATTTATTTTATTAAATAAAATAATAATTATATTATATAAAGAGAAAATGTAATGAGCAATGAATTCTTATAACTAATTGTTATAATAATTAATTTTTATAATAATTAATGTTATAATAAATCTTCTAACAATTAATTTTGTAATAATTAATATATTTAATATCTTTAATCTCTTTAATATATCTTTAATATCTTTAATATCTCTTTAATATCTTTAATATTTTTTATTCTTAATTCTAATAATTCTAATAGGTCTTATGATAATAAATTCTTTCTTTTCATCCTACAGTCGCCTCACTTACTCAATATTCGAATAAAGAGTGAGAGTAAGACAATTATGCTGGCCGGACATTGCCGTTTGTGTTTGTGCGCCATAATTGTCTCGCTCGCACTCTCTTGTTCGAGCGTCGAGCGAGAGAGATGGCTATCGGACACCTCTAACTCGGTATTATGTCTTATAGTGCTTTCTCTCTCGCTCTTGTGCCGTGCGCGAAGGACGCAACATCGGAATGCCCCCCACTACTCTACCCCCACTTTCTTTCCCGCTGTCCGGCCCCAACGTCACACTCACACAAGCAAAGTGCATGCGCGTGAGTGTGACGTCAGTGAGCGTCAACACAAGCATAGCGGGATACCATTTTCTGCCGGTGCGTGTACATAACAGTTACATTGTTATGAGTGAAAATGATAAAATTACTGTTACTTAATATTTACTAAGAGTTTTTTATATTTGGCGCTTCTTTTTTATTCGGTTTTTTTATAGCTTATTTTAGGTCTTTCAATTTTTTTTACTAGGTTTAGATCAAATAAAAGACGAGAAATACTTCAATGTTTCTTCGGATGTTCTTCTGTTATTTTTCCAATTGATTTCACATATTGAATAATAATTTCTGATCAATTAAACTGTGAAATCATCAAATTAACTACATTTTCAGAACATTTTACATTTTAGGAGGAAAATAAGTAAAAAACACGACAAAAATGCGATACTTATTAAAACGTATATACGTTTCAAAGAGTTCTCAAAATGATTGTTCTCAAAAATTTAATGGTAAATGTTTATTTTAGATTACACAGCACGAAAAATTTTTATTTTGACATATATTGGAAAGGATACATTCCTAAATAATACACCTTTTGAATTTTGCGGCGGTCTCTCTTCGTTCCTGAGATATGCGATTTTGAATTTTATATCTACTTGTATCATTTTGTCGTTATATTCTTTTTATGTTTATATTTCTTTAATATTATAGCAGAATTAATCCTTTGCACGATCTAGAAGATAAATATAAATTAATGAAGTCTAAAAATTGCACTTTTTATTTTACTTAAACTTTTAGTAAGTGTGTATGCAGGGTGATTCAAAATAACCCCTATGTCCGTAAAATGACACATTGTTGAGTCAATTCTAAAACGATTTTTCCTTTTGCAAAATTTCGTCCGAAGCTTAGTTTTCGAATTATTAAAGAAAGTAGTTAACGCATGACGAGTCGGATACAAGAGGCAGGCAAGGGTGACGCGATTCACCGTCAGACGCGAGCGCTTACGCGGGGCGCCTGCTGCGATCAGCTGGTCGCTATACACATACAGACACACATGCGAACACTCTCTCTCTCTCTCTCTCTCTCTCTCCCTCTCTCTCTTTCATTTGCTCACTCACCTGTAATTTTTTTTTTTTTACGAGAGAGGGTAAAATGCATTTTATGCATACCCACTGGTCGATCCAGTGAATTATGTGGGACTCGAGTACCAAGTCGAATTACTAATTCGGTACTCCCTATTCAGTAAAAACCCCTCTCTTTTCACGAATTTTCTTTGACACACTGTCCTTCCCGAGATCCGTTTTTACATAACGTCAAAAAATAGTTATTATTACCTTGTTCGATGACTTCTGATGTATTGCTGTAATTGCTTGAAGGAGAAATGAATTTTCCGATAGATCGTACGTTCTCAAATTTAACGTAGATATCACATTGCACCAGACAGAAATCCATACTAAATTATTAACTGAAAGTTTTTCTTCTTTCATGAACTGCATTCTTTTATAAACTTTAACATAATCACATTTATTTACTCACTCGACGAGACAAGAAATTTACTAATGACTCTATCACTAATCACTATTAATCACTGTCGAATAATAATTGTTGGCGATTAAAAATCACTCGATAAAAGAAACACGCACAGACACGTTACTACACGACGCGATGACGCAACAATGCGACGATAATTACTCGGCGACTGCAAGCAATATTTTGTCATAGTAAGTTGCGGTAGGTTAAGGTACTACTGGTACTATCGAACGCGATCATGTGTTCGATTGAAGAATGCGGTAAACATAATAAACATTTAACATATTAATATTATTACTACGCAATCTACTATGACAAAAAACTGCTTGCACTCGCCGAGTAATTATCGTCGCATTGTCACGTCGTCGCGTCGTGTAGTAACGTGTCCATGCGTGTTTCTTTTATTGAGTGATTTTTAATCGCTAACAGTTATTATGCAGTTCATGAAAGAAGAAAAACTTTCAGTTAATAATTTAGTGTGGATTTTTGTCTGGTGCAATGTGATATCTACGTTAAATTTGAGAACGTACGATCTATCGGAAAATTCATTTCTCCTTCAAGCAATTACAGCAATACATCAGAAGTCATCGAACAAGGTAATAATAACTATTTTTT